ATTGCTCTTCCGAATGAATAAATAATAATAATAATAATAATAATAATAATAATAATAATAATAATAATAATAATAATAATATTAAATAGTTTATTTACCTATATAAACACTACAATACATTATTACAGGGAATAAGCAGTAAATAAACATAATCCCTTTAAGCAAGCTTGTCTGGGGTGTAGATACATATTTAAAATATAGTAATAAAAAGAAATATATACACAGAAATATTCAATAAAATTAATCAACAGACAAACAACATGTCATGGATTCAATAAAATGTTTCATGTTAAATACACACGATGGGTTCTTGAAAACGAGACGGAGCGAATAACTCTCAGGAAAATTATTTTTCCGAAAAACGTCGAGACAGGCCGATTTGATCGAAAGGGGACATTTTTTCACACAAATTTCTTGTTACAAACTCTACCCCCCTAGAGAGGGCAGCAACTCACCAAAAATCTTAATAGGGAAGAAGGGTTAAGTGATACATCGTTTGAAAGGTATTCTAATTCTCTACACAACTGTGTTTTATTTTTTGAATTTGACCGATTAGTTCCGGAGATACAGGTTGTTAATAAAAAAAACTACTTTTTACAAATTTATTTACAAGTTACTAAATGTCGGCCAATTATTAATAGTCCAGTTGGTAGAGATTCGGCCTGTGTCAAACCTTGATAACCCGGAAATAATTGCACAGACCTACTTTAAATGATGAGTACAATAACAGGCTAATTTGCTGACAAAGTATTTTATTAGGAAAAAAGTTATTAACAATTTAATCGTGAAAAATATAATATAATTTTTTTTACTAGTTTTCTTTAAATAATTCAATGGGATGACTGTACGAAAAAATGCTTAGGACATGATTTTGTTCGTAATTAAAATAGCTACAAAATGACGATGATCCGATTACGAAATTTGCAATAACAAAGCCGTGAGATTGAAAAAATGGTATAAAACGTCAATTTTTGTTGCTGTAAAAATGTCAATTATAAACAAAAAGTGATAAAACTTTCGAAAACTATAGTTCAATATATATACAATAATGACGCTAAAGCCGAAAATCAGGAGAGCAAAATTTTTTGTTCTATAAGGTGTTATACATTCATCGGCATCTGAAACTCGAAACTTTGCCAAATTTGTTCGAAGCTTTGCTGACACTTGAAATTTGGTACACACATAGTGTAAATATGCAGAAACCAAAAGCAATTTGCAAAATTCAAGTATCTTCATTTTTGCAGTTTTGGTAAGGTTTTATACGTCACCCTAGTTTTATACGTCACCGTTTTTTTAATTTTTGGACGTATATTTATGTATATTTATAAAATATTCCATTACGGTAGATTAGCCAGCATAATTACCTACAATTTAAAAAAATATATATTTTCATCGTTTAGATCCTAAGCTACTTAACATTTTGCGCCTGTTAGCCGTAGTCGTACATTATTCAACATATCAACATAAAACAAAATCGTACGTGTGGGGTAAACCTTTAACTTTAAGTAAACAATTGTTTAAATTTACTGTTGCATATTTCTAATAGTATACAAGCGCCGAAGAGCGGAGCTCGCGCTCGAAAATGAAGAGTTAAAGGTTTACCCCACACGTACGATTTTGTTTTATGTTGATATGTTGAATAATGTACGACTACGGCTAACAGGCGCAAAATGTTAAGTAGCTTAGGATCTAAACGATGAAAATTATTTTTTTTTTAATTGTAGTGTTCTTTTTCAATATTATTAACTAAAAAGAAGACATAAAAACTTATCAAAATTCTTCATAGCTGGCTGGCATTGCCAGTTTTTTTTAAAATGCCGTAGGTTCTTGCTATTTAATTGATAACAATAAATATAGCCTCGAAAATTACCTAATTTTCGAACTGGTTGATTGTGAACAACCGAGAATTAGTAAAGAAGACGAAAAACGTCTCTTTCCCGTCATCAGTGGCCTATTTTGCGCCTTCAAAGACAACAACTTTGGTCTGTAACACAGCAGACAACAAATTTTCGCTATTCTTTCGAATTTTCAAGCAAAACTCTTGCTGCTTGATATCCGCTCTATGCCAGTTGAGACGGAATCGAATTCGAATTTCATTAAACAAGGTAACGAGGAGCCAAGTTCTAGAAGAAGGACGTTTGAACGACGACCCAGGAGATGCACTGTATATTTTCCAGGACCAAGTTCATAGTGCACGGCGAAATTAGCTAGCTCTAGAGCTCTATAGCTCTTTTTAAACGAATTTCTGTGTTTTCTGTGTCAAAATATTTTCAATCTGGGAGACACACAGGGCATTATTTCATAGATTATAATGGTAGATATGAGCTAAGAAACACTCTGTGGAAATTTGGAAGGGACATTGTGTATAATATCCTTAACCGTTCACACGCCGATCCTTGAAAACTTCCGTAACTAGGTGAAGGCTGTAGGCACAGCGAACAGATAGCGGTGCCATGTCAGTTACTCCAATTCGATTCCAAGTAATCAACTTCGATTATCTGGACGTACGCGCATGCAACCGCACAGTAATGTTATTGTTTTCGCGCGAAAAGGGTTCATTTGACCAGAAGCACAGAAGATCTTCCATAAACGGGTTGAAATATGTCCGAAAGTTTACAGTGAACCTTGTTCAACCCTCAGTTGACCCATGCCGCGTTGTTCCTGGGTTCTTTAAAAGCGTTCTAGTGAGTTATAAAAAATATTTTATGCCGTATTTACAAATGAAATTACGTAAATAGTGGAATTATTGTGGCGGCTACGAAATAATGCACCAGTTTATGGTAGAAACCTTTAAAGACGTAGACAAAAAGCTATGTAAGTATTTTTGTAAGTTGTAACAAGTGAATTTATATAAGGTGTCTCTTAATTTGACTACCACACTTCAGCAGGTCATTCTTTGGACTAGAATTTAATTCTGCCGTCTTAAAAAAACACGGTGTCTTGCAAATAACCTATTGACAGGGATTTTTCTTAAAAATCCTCGGTCCTTGCGGAAGTATCAGTATCGATAAACGCTTTTAGCTATTCATGAATATGAATAGCCAAGAAGCGTAGACTAATACTTATACTTATATTTCAACTGGTTTAAATGATTTTAAAAATACATTAGCGATAAGTCATTTCTAAGTTGCTATATCTTCGTACCGAGTCGGAATTAGTTAATGAACTTTTATATTAATATAGACAAAGGAACTCCTAGTAGCAACTTGATAATTTAGTTAAGGGATACTCTATGTGTATATAGTAAGTTGAATTATTATTACACAGTATTACAAAACTATACTGAAAGAATGAAAATAAATAGTGTATGGCTCTCTTTATAAATAGGTTGTATTATAATTCACTAATATTTTTGTGAAGAATATATTTTAAAGTGTAATGTGTAACAACAACATCTATCTATTTATAATCAACAAGATATACAGAGTATCCCGAAATTAGGGGGCAATATTTCTACAGGGTATTCTATGTCGAAAAAGATTACTTTTTCTTTATATAAACGTAGATCCAAAAATTCTTCCTAAGGAAGTGATAGCCACTTAAAGAGGCCACTCTGATGTTTTTTTTTAAATAACTCCGAAACGAGTTGAGATAAATTTATGAAATTTGGTAATTAGCTTAACTCTTAAGTGCACAGTCCCCTACTAACACGAAATTGGCAAATTTTCATCACATACGTTCTAACACAATTTACCATAACTTTTTTATGCTGTCACTTTTTGACTTTTGACTGAAAATTATGAAATTTCAGAATTTTTTAGTAAATGAAGGTTCAGATTGGTAAAATGTTCAATTTTTGTGTAAAATCCGTTTAAAAATAATGTTACATGTGTTAATGGTAGAAATATTTTGGTTAGCGACGATGATGTTTAATTTATTGTCATGGTAAATCTATGATCTCTTTTCTGTATATTTACTTTTTATTTTAATCACGTAGATAAGGTTTTTTTTTCCTTCGCATCGTTTGATAAAACTGATGTTAATTTTTTGCCACTATTTCTTATTTACTGTAATATTTATGATTTTTATTGGAATGGGTGTTTGAATTATTTTATATTTCATTTATATAAAGATAACTCTAAATAAATATAATTATTCAAAATTAGTAACATTAATTTATTAGACCAATAATTGTAATAAATATAATAATCAAGTTTGAGAATATATTTAATTGTGTTATACTGCTCTAAATAATCTTTGTATATTTTTGGAGTGCTTATGATGTTTACTAATGCATAATACGCAATTTAGTTTTGTTCATTTTAACATTCGTTCTATTCGTACGGGATTTGATCTGTTTAATGACATAGTGCATACTGAGGATTTCTCTGTTATAGGTTTATCTGAAACTTGGCTTAATAATAAGATTCAAAATGACGTTTTTGATTTAGAAAACTATTCACTTGTTAGAAATGATAGAGCTGTTCGTGGGGGTAGAGTAGCTTTTTATATAAAAAATCATATTCAGTTTAAAATATTAAAAATTGAATCTACTGATTTTATTGAACAACTTTGGATTAGTACAAAAATTGGAGGTAAGAAATTGTGCTTTGGTACAGTGTACAGGTCACCTGATGTTAATCTGAAGATGGCTATTGATGATTTAGAAGCTGCACTAGTTGGCGTTCTACCTGACTTTGATTATGTTCTTTTTGGGGGTGATTTTAATGTTGACCTTTTAACTGCGAACAATGCTACGTTGCTCTTAAACAATTTTTTAGATAAATATGGTTTAACACAATGTATTGACTGCCCTACTCGGATTACTCCTACAAGTCAAACGCTTCTAGATCTTATTGTTACGTCACGTAATGACATAATTGTGAATAGTGAGACTATTAATATGGATGGTATTTCTGATCATAAGTTGGTTGCATGTAATTTGAAGATTGATAAAGTTAAGCAACCTCTACTATTCCGTACCTTCAGGGACTTTTCTAATTTTAATTATGATTTATTTGTGTACGATCTTGGGAATATTAATTTTGATTTAATATATAATTTTGTATATGTAGATGATATTGCCCAATTTTTGAATGAAAGTAGTATTAGTCTGTTTGATATTCACGCACCGTTAAAAACTGTTAGGATCACGAAACCGCCGGCTCCTTGGCTTACATATAATTTGAAAATCATGATGAAGTTGAGGGATAAAGCTTATGTTAAATATAAAAAACTAAAAACTGTGGGTAACTGGGAAGCTTACAAAAGACTTAGGAACATGGTTAACTCAGCGATCAAGTCTGACAAAAAAGCTTACCTTCATTATAAATTTAAAACTGATCCTAAAGCTTTCTGGCGTACCTTGAAATATTTGAATATTAGTAAAAACTCTGATAACATTAACTATTCTCATTTTGGTAATACTAATGATTTTAATGATTATTTCCTCAATAATATTCCTCTGCGTTCGGTTGATGATAATTTTCTCAATAATAATTACGTTAATAAACCTTTTGGCACAGACAGTAATTTTCAATTTTCAGAGGTGGATATCGGTGTTGTGGAAAAAGTACTTGCTAAAATCAAGTCAAAAGCTAAGGGGTGTGACGGAATTGACTTAAAAATGCTCACGTTGCTGCTTCCATCTGAGTTGTTTTATAACTTTTTTTGTTAATAAATGTTTAACCACTGGCGATTTCCCTGACGTCTGGAAAGAGGCACTTGTCATTCCGGTGCCTAAAAATAGTTGTCCCAACAATATTTCTAATTTTAGACCAATAAGTATTTTGCCTACGCTTTCCAAAATTCTTNATTGGAATGGGTGTTTGAATTATTTTATATTTCATTGTTATAAAAGATAACTCTTAATAAATATAATTATTCAAAATTAATTTTAATTTACATTTTATCATACTATTAGAAGTAGTATTTGTAAGAATATGTTTGTTTCTGGTCGGTAACATTAATTTATTAGACCAATAAATGTAATAAATATAATAATCAAGTTTGAGGATATATTCAATTGTGTTATACTGCTCTAAATAATCTTTGTATATTTTGGAGTGCTTATGATGTTTACTAATGCATAATACGCAATTTAGTTTTGTTCATTTTAACATTCGTTCTATTCGTACGGGATTTGATCTGTTTAATGACATAGTGCATACTGAGGATTTCTCTGTTATAGGTTTATCTGAAACTTGGCTTAATAATAAGATTCAAAATGACGTTTTTGATTTAGAAAACTATTCACTTGTTAGAAATGATAGAGCTGTTAGTGGGGGTGGAGTGGCTTTTTATATAAAAAATCATATTCAGTTTAAAATATTAAAGATTGAATATAGTGATTTTATTGAACAACTTTGGATTAGTACAAAAATTGGAGGTAAGAAATTGTGCTTTGGTACAGTGTACAGGTCACCTGATGTTAATCTGAAGATGGCTATTGATGATTTAGAAGCTGCACTAGTTGGCGTTCTACCTGACTTTGATTATGTTCTTTTTGGGGATGATTTTAATGTCGACCTTTTAACTGCGAACAATGCTACGTTGCTCTTAAACAATTTTTTAGATAAATATGGTTTAACACAATGTATTGACTGCCCTACTCGGATTACTCCTACAAGTCAAACGCTTCTAGATCTTATTGTTACGTCACGTAATGACATAATTATGAATAGTGAGACTATTAATATGGATGATATTTCTGATCATAAGTTGATTACATGTAATTTAAAGATTGATAAAGTTAAGCAACCTCTACAATTCCGTACCTTCAGGGACTTTTCTAATTTTAATTATGATTTATTTGTGTACGATCTTAGGAATATTAATTTTGATTTAATATATAATTTTGTATATGTAGATGATATTGCCCAATTTTTGAATGAAACTATTATTAGCCTGTTTGATATTCACGCACCGTTAAAAACTGTTAGGATCACGAAACCGCCGGCACCTTGACTAACATTTAATTTGAAAATCATGATGAAGTTGAGGGATAAAGCTTATGTTAAATATAAAAAACTAAAAACTGTAGGTAACTGGGAAGCTTACAAAAGACTTAGGAACATGGTTAACTCAGCGATCAAGTCTGAGAAAAAAGCTTACCTTCATTATAAATTTAAAACTGATCTTAAAGTTTTCTGGCGTACCTTGAAATATTTGAATATTAGTAAAAACTCTGATAACATTAACTATTCTCATTTTGGTAATGCTAATGATTTTAATGATTATTTTCTCAATAACATTCCTCTGCGTTCGGTTGATGATAATTTTCTCATTAATAGTTACGTTAATAAACCTTTTGGCACAGACAGTAATTTTCAATTTTCAGAGGTGGATACCGGTGTTGTGGCAAAAGTATTTGCTAAAATCAAGTCAAATGCTAAGGGGTGTGGGAATTGACTTAAAAATGCTCACGTTGCTGCTTCCGCATCTGAGTTGTTATATAACTTTTTTTGTTAATAAATGTTTAACCACTGGCGATCTCCCTGACGTCTGGAAAGAGGCACTTGTCATTCCGGTGCCTAAAAATAATTGTCCCAACAATATTTCTAATTTTAGACCAATAAGTATTTTGCCTACGCTTTCCAAAATTCTTGAAAAGATAGTTCATGAACAACTTTCCAATTTTTTAAATAATAACAATATTTTACCGGCAACTCAATCTGGTTTTCGGGTTATCATAGTAGGTACAACTACTGCTTTATTAGATGTTACTGATGAACTGTTTAGAGCCAGGGATCAACACAAAAATTTTTTTTTTTGGTGTTTCTTGACTATAGTAAAGCATTTGATACATTAGTACCCTCTACATTGTGTTTAAAACTTAAATATTTTGGCGTTAGTGATCTAGTGGTTACGTTCTT